CTATTAGCTCAGAGCTTCACTTGCAGCGAAAAACAGCTGCTGAGCTAAGAGCTGGAAGCAGACCCAGTTCCGGTGGCATCTTCATGGAATTAAGCTCCAGAGGTCCAGGGGGTCATTAGAGTGTACAAAACCTCTCTTCTTGCGGGGCTTATAACCTAAATAAATTTGGACAGATTATCTTTGACACAGAGGTTAATTTGTTGACCCCGTTTCAAAGTCTGACGCCACTGCTGTTTCTCAAAATCACTGAAAAATATTTCCACGGGTATTTTTCCTCAGCACTGTTCAGAAAAAAAAATACATAGATTGGTTTTGGTTGAAATATTTTATGCATATTTGAACTGAAGGCAAGAATGGCCTTGCAGTATTGCAACTGCAAAGGTTACAGCAGAATAAAGCTACGAGCTGTTGAAAATAGTGTCCAGTTTTGGGCCCCCTACCATAAAAAAGACATTGAGGTGCTGGAGCGGGTCCAGAGAAGGGTGACAAAGCTGGTGAGGGGTCTGGAGAATAAGTCTTATGAGGAGAGGCTGAGGGAGCTGGGGTTATTCAGCCTGGAGAAGAGGAGGCTGAGGGGAGACCTTATTGCTCTCTACAACTACCTGAAAGGAGGGTGTAGAGAGGTGGGGGTCGGTCTCTTTTCTCAAGTCACAGGCGACAGGACGAGAGGAAATGGCCTCAAGTTGCGCCAGGGGAGGTTCAGGCTGGATATTAGGAAAAATTTTTTCACTGAAAGGGTTCTCAGGCATTGGAATGGGCTGCCCAGGGAGGTGGTTGAGGCACCATCCCTGGAGGTGTTCAAAAGACGGGTTGATGTAGTGCTGGGAGGTATGGTTTAGTGATGGTGATGCTCCTTGTTTGTTGTGTGGGTGTCTATTTTTGTCAGTTAGGGTGACGGTTGGACAAGATGATCTTTAAGGTCCCTTCCAACCTAGAAGATTCTGTGATTCTGTGAAAATAGCCTTAGAATGAGTAGCGCTGGGCAGGTGGAAAAATAAGCCTTGTTCCTGTTGTCACTTATAACACGTACCTCACTGGTGTTTCAGGGATGAGGAATCTGCTCTTATCTAAGAAAGATTCTGTGATTCTGTGAAAATAGCCTTAGAATGAGTAGCGCTGGGCAGGTGGAAAAATAAGCCTTGTTCCTGTTGTCACTTATAACACGTACCTCACTGGTGTTTCAGGGATGAGGAATCTGCTCTTATCTAAGACTGGGAGTTTAAATCCTTGTGCACACGAAAGCTCCCCAGTAGAACAGGCACTTGTCCATGTGCTGCATATAGCAAAATCACACTGTGATGTGTAACATAGAGTACAGATTGCAGTATATACTGTTCGAAGTTTATTTTGAGTCTTCTGCATTTTCATAAGACAAAAAAATATGATCTATATCATCTTACAACATTGGCAGTATGAAACATACACACAGTATGCATTTTGAACTGTAGCATATGTACAGAATGTTCACAATTTAAACAGGGGAAATGTAGCTGAGCATCCATCATCTATCTATCTATCTATCTATCTAGGCTTTCTACCATGGTATTAGGAACCTCTCTGAAATCTTTGGTGTTTTCCAGCTGAAAAGCCCTACAAGCTCATTTTATGAGTTCTCCATGCCTTTCCCCCAACCCACTATATATATATATGTATGTATATATATATCTGCAAGTGCCTTCTCTGCTCTCCAGCCTGCAGTTGTTCCTAGCAGCTTTCTAAGCATACGAACTGCACTTGAAGAAATTTGCCCGGGAGCCAATACTACTGTCATGGAACAATCGCAATGACACCCCACCAGTAAGGAAAACAACTGGAAATGGTTGTGTCCAGCTGGAGAGCAACGTTAGCCTTTTCCAAGCATAACAGCAATCGCATTCTCTCTCCTCACTTCTGACCGTGCTGTGGCAAGAGCTCCAGAAAGGTCTCACAGCAGCTTGACACTGAAAATCCCTCCAATTCTTAGGAGAGTCATTTTTCAACATAAGACCGTGTCACTATGAGATTAGGCTTGGACCTCCCGAATTTCCTCTTTCAGGAAACAGCTATGTTAAAGGAGGCAGTTCAGCCTCCCCTCCTTTCCCCAGTTAGCTGAGATGCCAAGATGTGCAGATACATCTATTATAATTCTATCTCTGTATGTTATATGCAAGCACCATCCAGCTGGATCCGAATTGAGATATTTCACACCACATATAAGACACCAAACCTCAACAGGTTTGGGCTTCAAACTCTTTGAGGTTCCTTTACTACTGGAGGAGAAAGTAATCCATCCTTTTGGGCTTTTTGAAGCGTTGCCACATAAGAGTAGACAGCACTCAGGGTCCATAGGACCTTTAAGATCGTATTCCCTGTATTTTAAAACAAACCAGCTTTGCTTGTGGTCTAGTGTTTTTTGGTGGTTTGTGTTTTTTTTTTTTTTAATCTGCAATTGATCCGAGACAGTAATTTTCAGAAAATATGAAAAAACACAAACTAAAAAAAAAAACTTGTTGTAACCCTCTTCACACCCTCTGCCAGAACTTCAGTGATATTCATGATGTTCTGGTGGTTTGAATCTGGATGAGGGCTTATTCTAGCTGCCGTAGCTATTTCATTGTATATGAACAGTTATTTCTCACTATCCTGAAGTGAAACACTAACATTTTCACAGCAGAGGCCACTTGTAAAATGAGTAATATTTTACGCTGTGCAATGTCTTACAGTGCGATGCTTTTGAGTCCTAAATTACTCCTTTTCCAAGAATTAACAGGACTGGTAGCTAAGAAACCCCTCGGGATTCCCAAGCTGGGGATTTCAAATGCAGTTCTCTGCAAAAAGCCTGAGACAGCTATGAGTAAAACATCAGTTTCTTTTATGGTTTCCCTCCCGTGCATCGTATTGCACAATAAGGGTGTCTGGTCTTTTGATCCCAGGAGGAACAGCTCATGGTTTTAAGCACTAGTGTCCAGATTCTGAGACACTTTAATGCGAGACACACTAACCAGATCTTCTCTGATTAACACAATGGCATTCTTGAGTATTTCACTCAAATCAACAGGAATGTTTGAAGAAGCAGACGCACGGAGCTGCCAACTTCAAACCCCCAGATGTGAGTCAGGCCTCTAAAAATGATGAGGTCTGCGAAAGTCAGGAAGCTTTTTTATCTGCTAATTCTCTACAATTCAGAGGAAAGGAGCAATTCAGAAAACTGAGTGTGGTACAACTTGTTTCCAAGCTGAAAGGAATACACAAACCACCAAATATTGTGAAACACGCAATTCATAACACTGCACGCAGCCGAGAATGGGGAAGGTACGTGAGCTTCTGTCTGTCAGCGTTCAACCAAACCACGATTCCAGAAGCTGAAGTGTCTTACTCCATCCTTCAGTGTGAATTTGACATCTTGAACATCTTGTCTTGAACAGCATCTTGCATCACAGCAATGTTTCTGAGCGTACCTTGTACCCAAAGGCAGGGGAGCTATAAGGGATGTTGTTGCTCTGGTTGTTTTGCAGCAATGTTTCTGAGCGTACCTTGTACCCAAGGGTAGGGAAGCTATAAGGGATGTTTGGTTGTTTTTTTAGCCCCCTGCCCTGCCAGGCAGTGCCAAGCCCCCTGGACCTCTGTCCCACTCCACCCCATCCTGCTTCCTCAAGCTGGGCATCTCTCCATGGCCTTGGTTTTGCTTTCTCACCTCCTTCTCCCTTGTCCTTCTCTGTAACCCCTTCTGAGGGGTCTAGAGAACAAGTCATACGAGGAGAGGCTGAGGGAACTGGGCATCTTTTGTTTGGAGAAGAGGAGGCTGAGGGGAGACCTCGTTGCCCTCTACAATACCTGAAAGGAGGTTGTGTTAGAGAGGTGGGTGTTGGCCTCGTCTCCCAAGTGATAGGGCCTCTTCTCCCAAGTGATAATGACAGGACCAGAGGGAATGGTCTGAAGTTGGGGCAGGGGAGGTTTAAATTGGATATCAGGAAGAATTACTTTACTGAGAGGGTGGTCAGGCACTGGAACAGCCTGCCCAGGGAGGTGGTGGAGTCACCATCCCTGGAGGTATTTAAGAAACGTGTAGACGTGGCACTTCAGGAAGAAATTTTTTACTATGAGGGTGGTGAGACACTGGAACAGGTTGCCCAGGGAAGTTGTGGATGCCCCATCCCTGGAAGTGTTCAAGGCCAGGCTGGATGTGGCCTTGAGCAACCTGCTCTAGCGGGAGGTGTCCCTGCCCAGGGCAGGGGGGTTGGAACTAGATGATCTTTGAGGTCCCTTCCAACCCTAACCATTCTATGATTCTATGATTCAGTTGGACTCGACGATCTCAAAGGTCCCTTCCAACCATGAAGGTTCTGTGATGCTGGAACGCACCAGAGGCCCTTCCAACCATGAAGATTCTGTGATGCTGGAACACGCCAGAGAGGCTGGCACAGCATGGTGGGAGGACTGGACCTGGCTTCTCCTCATGGGGCACCGTGTCAAGAGCCAACCTCCACTGTTCACGTCTCATTTATCTCAGGTGAAGTTTTACGAGGGTGGGAGGAGGGGGGTGTGTTGCTGTCTTGCTTTTTAAGGAGGGGGGACACACCGAGTGCTCATACCAAAACCAAGCAGAGGCCAAAGGGCTGCTGGAGCTGCTACCTGCCCAAACCCAACACCCTCTGCACCAGGGAGGATGGGTCCTCGGAGGGGCACCCAGCCCTTCCCGGAGGGCTGGAGGCCATGGGAGGACGGGGGCAGCTTCCCAGCGCGGTGGGGTGACCCCCGGGACCCCCTTCCCCTCTCTCCGTCCTGGGACTTTTCCTCCGCATCACAGCTTTTCCCCCGCAAAGCCCGAAGGCCGGGGCTTCCCCTCCGTTGCCGGGGAGGCCGCGGGGGCGACCCTCCCCGCGCCCAGCGCTCCCCGGGGAGGAGCCGGCCGGGTCCGCAGCGGGCCCGCTCGCCAAGTCCGGCTGGGAGCAGCCAAACCCAGCCCCCTCGGGCTCGGGGGTGGGCGGGGAGGGCCGGCCGGGCGCCTTCTCTTGCAGGGAGCGGGAGGAACGGGCGAACCTTTCCTCCCCTCCGAGCGGCGGAGGCACCACCACCGGCCGCCGAGGCGGGCTCCGCCGGTATGGGCCCCGAAGCGCTGCAGCTCGGCCCCTACGGAGGGGCGGCCGCCGCCGCTTTGCTCCTCTGGGCCGTCTGCCTGCTCTGCAGGAGGAAAAGGTACCGGGGGGGAAGGAGAGGGGGTTCGGCGGGGCGGGGGGCGGCCGCCGCCACCGCATTCCTTCACGGCGGCGCCGGGGGGAGGGGGGGGGGGGGGTG